GGCCCCGCGGGGCCAGCCTTTCCCTCCGGGGGGGCGACCCATAAATGGACGTCGGGATGGGAAAGAGCTGCCGCGTAAAGGGCCCCTCAGGATGCTCGCAGGGCCCGCGCAGGGCAGGGTTTTTCAAACGTGGCCACTTTTTGGGCTGGGGGGTGAAGGCCACACACCTTAAATTGGCCAAGTTTGAAAAAGACTGGATTAGGCTAAAAAGTGGGAAACGTGTTTCTAGGAGACGCATGAATCAGAACATCATGTTAAGCTGTAGCTGGTTTATTCATCTGGGTATTAGTTCTGTATGCATCGGATGGTGGTTTGTTAATTCGGGCTTCTGGAGTTCCCCCAGGGGTTTGGGCCAGGAGGTTAATGGGGTTCTGCTGGCTAATGTTTATTATAAGTTCAAATGCTGATTTATTTACTTATTAAATGAATTTATATGGCCACTCCTCTCAATTGCTGTTTGTCACCTCAGACATTTATGATTTGGATTGTTTAAAGGGTTGCTCTTAACTTTGTATGCAGCCACAGAAATCATTTGAATAAATAACTAAGAAATACGTTTTTTAAATTTATTTATCCAGTATTTCGATCGCTTGATCGAAGTTGATCCAGAAGGGTTCTCCTGAATTTCCCCCAGATGCAGATAAGTCACCCTATCTAATAAGATTCCCCTCCCTCTCCCCAGACATTGGTGTGTTCACAGGACTTTCTTATTTTGAATTTTTCTTTTTTTTAAAGCCAACTTTGCAGGTCTGTAAAGCAAAGGAAAGCTGAAGTAAGTTCATACGCGCAGTCACATTTTCACTTAGCAACTGCTTTGCTTAACAACCAAGTTGCTAGTCCCAACTGGGATCACTAAACGAAGACTACCTGTATGAATATGTCATACAGTTAGTCTCTAACCAGAGTCTATGGGAGTGAGTGGCTATAATAAATTTAAATAATCATGATAAAGATGATGGAGAATCTGCCCCTTTCAGGGAGGAAAAGGGTATGAAGGACTAGGGACTCCTCCCCGATCTCTCATCTCCTGGAGCTCAAAGGGGGGCCGAGTTCAGTTAAAGGGCTGAAATGCAGGAAAGAGTGATTAACTTTTTAACCATTAAAAATTAACTGGTTAACTTTTGTCAGAACATGTACAGTGTTAAAAATCAGGAGGGCAGGGAGCAGTCATGAAAGACACTCCACCCCCATGGGATGCTCTCTCCCCTTCCCCCAATTCCTCTACCCCTTTGATCCCTTTTCAGTTTCCCCAGTGCCCCGTCCCCGACTGAACACCCTCATTTGAGGAGAAAGAATCCAATTTCTCTATTTGCAGATCTCTGAGCTACTGAAAAGAGGGAGGGAGGCTTGCCAGGTGCTGTAAAAATGATATTTTATTGGAATCTGATGCATTTTGGAAATGAATCCCTTTCTCAGGTGCTTTAAAAACAAAACAGACCAACTTGGAGCCCTTTTATTGAGACATTTAGTGAATCAAGGTATCTGTGAGGAGAAGAGCCCATTTTGATGAAGTTCTCTGTGTGTTCTAAGTCATTTTATATACATTTTATATATAGTACTTCTGTTTGTGCTGTCTTTTAACAAACTTGAGACAAGTTTTGTGGTTTATACTGTTTTGTGAGCTGCCCAGGGTTGTGGTCCATAATATGGATGGCTATCTAAGTCTTTTAAATTAAAACAAAACAGAAACAAAAACTGGACTTGGTTTTTTGAAGGAAAGGTTTGCATCCTCATACTCCAGGCGAGGAGGTCTGCTGTGTGGTTTGGCACTTGACCGGTCCAGTTGTGAAAGAAATGTATAGATGGGGGACAGTCTAGATAGGATGACAGGATTAATCAGTAGGGAGCCCTGATTTTATTTTCTAAGAGTTAAAGATCAAAGTAAAAGAAAAGGGAACAGGCACGACCAAGAGAGCCGCTGAGAGCAGAATGGGAGAAGATTGGAAAGGTTGACTCTTCAGTCCAGTTGGAGACATCTGGACTTAAAGGGGGAGAAAGGAGGATGGACAGATGGATGGATGGATGGATGGATGGATGGATGGATGGATGGATGGATGGATGTCTTCTGGGTCAGGTTGTACCCAGTAAGGAGATGTATGTCCACCCACAAAAACCAGGCAGAACTTCAGTCACCCCATCATGGCTGCCATCTTCACTCTTTTGACCCTACCCTGTGCCGCCACCCCCCCCACCATCATTTATAAACAATTGGGAAATTCTCTCAAGATGGAGAAATACGTTGGGAAGGCACAAGATGGGTGGGGGGCGAGAAGAGGAAAGGGCTTGTTGAGAAAAGGTGACAAAATTGGTCCAGGTTGATCAATCAGCTATTTAAGTCTTTGTTAGATTTATCTCTTGCCTTTTGTGCAGGAGCTCAAAGCTGCCTTTGTAACCCTACCTCCTCCTATTTTTTTCTCACAGCAGCAACCCTGTGCAACTGTCCAGTCACCCCAGGGAGCTTTGGTGGCAGAACAAGCGCCCAAAGTTGCGGGCATGTGGCGCCCCCTCTCTCCCCTCCTGTCCCAGAGGCTGCGATTGGCATGAGCAATCAGGCCATGGTTGTTCTGACCCTGTTGATCCTCTGTTGGGTGGGGCACCCATCACTCTTCCCAGTAGCCTCTCACTAGGTCCTTCCAGCAGCCGAGAGGATGCTTTGCTTCCTTCCCCCCATCAATGAAGTGCAAAAAAGAAAAGGGGTGAGGTTAAGTCCCATCGCTGAGTCTAGGAGTCATCTCTACCCTCCCATTTCTGGAAAGTGAAATGGTGAGAGAGAGGAGTGCCTAGAAATGTCCAATTTTTTACAAGACCTCTCTAGGACTTTGCCTTGATCATCAACATGAAGCTTTCATTCATACTTTGAATGACCCAGGAAGGATGAAGGGGAGTCAGTCAATTAAGCCTCAAACAAAACCCGGTTTGTCTGGAGCAAAGGTCACCCTTCTGGGTGAGCTGGATCAATGAACTGGGTTTCTTCTTGGATGAGGGGCATTTCCCCAGCCCCCACAACTCAAGAGAGTTTGTGCATGTTACTGATAGCAGAGAAAAGCTGCTTGAGGTGCTGTACCTGTTC